TTTAGGGTTTAGGGGTTTAGGGTTTAAGGGTTCAGGGTTTAGGGGTTTGGGGGTTTAGGGTTTAGGGTCTAGCGGTTTAGGGTTTAGGGTTTGGGGGGCTTAGGGTTTAGGGGTGTAGGGTTTAGGGTTTGGGGTTTAGGGTCTAGCGGTTTAGGGTTTAGGGGCTTAGGGTTTAGGGGTGTGTTTGGGGGTTTAGGAGTTTGGGGGCTTAGGGGTTTACGGTTTAGGGCTTGGGGGTTTAGGGTTTAAGGGTTTAAGCGTTTAAGGGTTTAGGTTAGGTGGACCTCTCACCCCGTAATAGTGGCATAATAGGAATGTAAGAGGACCCTAATATAATCTTTAGTATCTCATGGTCACTACTACAGGGTGGGGGGTTCACCTAAAGTTTACGGTTAGGGGCCATTACTGGGGGTTTCTCAAAATTACAATAAGTACGCTGGGGATATATGGGGATTACTAAAGCATTACGGGGCTCCACATGAAGTTTCTCTAGGGGTAGATTTACGATCCATCTAACATTTCTGAGGAGAGCAGGGCCACCACCTGTCCCAAAGGGAGATCCCGACCAAAGGAAACCAACATGAGAGGCAGCTGGACCTTTGCAGACCAAAACGTGACCGAACATCTTACTATATCCCACTGGCTCTTAGTAGGGAATAAAGGAATATAATCCCTGTAACATCCCCATACAATATGTTCTCTCCTTCCCATCCCCATACAATATATTCTCTCCTTCGCTGCTGAGAACCAAGAAGTTAAGGGCCACATAACAAACCGCCCGATCCAATAGCCCGCACAGACACGGATTGTAGCAGCCGCATGGATGGAAGACCTGCCGAAAGTCCGGATATAAGTCCCGCGCATCTCTCCAGGAGAAGTGTCCTTGGCTGGGAGAAGCCGAGTTTCTTCCATAACGTTCACAGCATTCAAAGCTTCATTGCTACCTGAAATGGGAGAAGTTTCCAGGTTTCAGCCATGGAGTCTTCTTGGTGTCGCCCTCGAAGAATGCCCGATCGAGCCACCATGAAGCTGTGGTGTAGTACTCCGACCTTCTTTGAATTTCTTCTAGTGCTTCCCTGAAGTCAACTATCCCCAGCAAGCGGTACGCGTAAAACACAGGCAAAGCTTCTAACTCAAGACAGCATTTTTGAGCCAGCCGACCTCGTCAAAGCATAGCTCCCTGGATAGCCATTGTTCTTGGAGTGTGGTACTGTTAGCATCGCATGGCCGGCAGCTTTCCTCACGACAAGGCTGAGGCTGAAAAACGCAAAGGAGGCAGAGAAGGCCATGGGAGCCATGAATGCAGCAAGCAAGGTACCGAGAGGCTCGGGCCGCAAAGTGCACAGAAGCTAGAAAGCCAGACGCCGCGGAAGAATGTTGCAAGTCAGCATAAGCCTTGGAAAGCTCACATTCATGCAAGGCCCGGTGTCTGATGCGGGGACGGGAAAGCGGCTGACAGCAACCTTCACCTTCCGAAAGGCCTAGTGTCTGCCGTTTTGGACGCAGTGCCTTCCCGTCCCCATATGAGCTATGGTCTAAACTCCGAATATCCCCTTCATCCCTTTAGTAGTCCCCTTTATAATTCCCTACATACCTCCCCTTTAAGGAGTTTAGATATGATCAATATGCAAGCCCTGCAAAGCATAGTTGCTAGGCCGATGCAAAGGCTCTTCAGCATGGTCTGGGCAACCGGACGGTCCATATCCGTAGGGAGGCGGCCTTGCGTCAGCTACATTCATTGTCTCTGGTGTTTGAAGGGCTGGAGCTTCGAGGTGTTTGGTTTCGGAGTTTAATGTCCTGGGTATTCAGCATTCTAGGGTTTGGAGGTTGAAGACTGAAGGACTTTCGGGTTTAGGATTCGGAGGCTGCAAGGTTTTGGATTTGCGGTTCAAGGATTAGGGCTGAAGCTACACGCAATATTTCGAACAGTGGTACTTCCAACAAATCGACGCCGAGTTGGGTTTTGCTCATATGAAGAGAGGACTAACAGCAACAATCACAACATTCTAACTTGCAACAGCAGTACTGTCAATAACAGGAAAGCTCCGTTTCTTATGCAACCCAGTCATACCCATTGCATCCTCAACATGCCCACTTTGTCTTCTTGTTAAAGGATCTTGGAAGCCCCACACACAGTTGAAACCGGAATCGATGTCGCTTGTAAGCCAAAGCACATTCGCAAACATCTCTGTTCGGTGACTCCAACATTCAGCACTAGAAGACCCTCTGCCTTCACAACGCCTACAGCAACCTTTCAAACAACTGTTTCTCCATTGCGGACTTCCATCTTCTACCTACAACAGCCGTGACCCAACGCCTGTTCAGAACCTTAAAGCCTTGTGCATGACGTTCGCGAACCCCAGATGCAACGTGAAGAGGACAGAAAGGGAACTCTGGGTGCGCTGCATGGCATGGCCGTGTGGTGGAGGAGCCATCCTCATGCCAAAGCAATGAAGGACGGTTTCTGTAGGCAGATCGAGGGCAGCGAGGCATTGCGAGAGCTATGACATGGTGACATTGAAGATGCGTACAGGAAGGGGCTGCCCGCTCACGGCCAAAAAATTGGCAACCGCACGCAAGAGGATCCTGCAGCAAGGTTGCTGCTTTGCTTGACGAGTAATTAGTCAACGGTTTTGCATAACGGGGAAATGTCACAATCTTGGTGCCGGCTTGAACGGGGTTTGCTGCAGCAGCAGCAGTAACACCCAAAGCCACGCGGCTTTGACAAGTACTGCTGTTTTTGCTCTTGCTCCTTCATCCTTATCCTAGGGAAGAACCAGGTCCGGAAAGTGGGAAATGAGAAATGGTGAGCCTGGTCGCTGTACCCAAACCAAGTTTCGAGGGCTGAGGACTGAGGGCTTGGTCTTTGCAAGCTGGCTCCTACTGGCTCCGGAACGTGATCAGGCAGAGGGGCCAGGGTCCTGAAGGACGGGTCTGGGTTCGCTGGAGAAATAGGTGCAAACAGCGTCCTAGGCAACAATTGGGTTTTCCCGCACGGATCGCATGTCGCGTTCTGGGATGCTGCCGACAAAATGCTTCGTGCTCTTCAGGGAACTAGCAGCAATCATGAATACATTCTGGCCACCGTAATGGCCATTGTAACACCTACAGGATTATCGCTGGAGCTCGCAGGCACCAAGCCTACAAGACAAAGGCTGTTGGAGCAAATCCCTCAGCACTAGCAATCCTTAACTCGTCTAGAGTCTCCTCTGTATCCTCCTCGCTTCTACCACCTAAGATAGACCCTGCACACACCCCGGATAACTCTGGCCGCGGCGATGGCGGCGGTGCCCCTGGAGCCTCGATTCCGCTGGATGAGTTTCGGCGTTGAGGCTCTGAGTGTCAAGGGATCGAGGGCTTTGGGTAAAGGCTTTGGAGATGGACATTCGGTGATCAGAGCTTTTCAGCACCGGCATTGCTGGGACTTTTGTATGCAAATGCCGTCTGCAGAGCATATCGAAGCTTGCACTTCCAACACGTGCACGTACAGTACATCTCCGTATCTGCGCGCAACAACAACAACCAACAACAACCAACAACAACAACAACAAGGTCAAGGCCAAGACCGCGTACCCGTTCCGCAGTGCGGGTGTGCGCAGTCTGGGTCTGCTCCCCAAGTACTGAAGGCCAAGACAGCGTACCCGTTCCGTTTTTTGTTGCCCCCCCCCCCGCACCGCACCGCAACTGAAAGCCCTGGCCGTCAGACTTCCTTCGAAACTGCCGGAAAACTCGAAAAGGATTGGCACTTGGCAAGGAAGCACGAGATGTTCTGCTCTTTTCGTC